GTCACAAGGACTCTGCCTGTTCCCTGGTCACCTTGCAGGAGTGCCTTCCCCTTCCTGAGCAATCAGCCCTCCTGCGTGGGATGGGACCAGGCCAGGATGTGGTAACAGGCCCTTTGGTGGGTAGTTGAGTCTGCGGGCCAAGCTCACTCCCTCTCTGCCCCTCGCCCCCCAACCTAGGCCGCCCCTACCGCCTGCTGCCCTGGGTACCCATCTCCTCCGTTTTCTCTGCCTCTCCTCCTCCCTTTCTTTCCTGTGTGCCCCGCCCACCGCCGTGTATCTTTTCTTCTCTATTTCTGTCAACTTTCCTCTCTCCAGCTTATTTCGGGGGTGGGGGTGGGCAGAGCTGGATAGGGCTGCAGGCAGACCCCCTAGGCCCCCTCCCCAAGCCAGCCATCCCTCCTCACTCCCCCCTGCTGCAGACCCCGTCAGACACGGAGCCTGGCAGGACAGGGCGTGATGGTGCACACCTCATTTCCACATGGGGCAACAGCCTGCTGCAGGCGCTCAGGTCCCATAGCCGGGCTACCCCCCAGAGGTCCTGGGCCCCCAGCCATGGCAGCGGGTGCCTCCCTGCCCAGGACCCCACGCCTGTGTGTGCTGGGGAGCCCTGTGCTCCCTGCGGAACGCTGAGTGGGAATACCATGAAATATCGATACTGTAAAAGTAAAATAACTAACCCTTCCATTCCGTGCTGCACCGGAACTAGGTGAGACTCTAACAGAGACTGTGGTGGCAGGCACTGGAGGAAAAATTTAGTGTGTTCAACACACACAGTTGAGGAAAGGCTTTTGTGGGGTTTCGGGGGGCAGGGTGCCTGCTTGCAGTTATCCGAAGACAGGTGCCTGCCTTGGGTCCTGGGCCCTCACCCACTGCCCTGATGCCCCCCCCCCACCATGTGTCCACAAGCATTCACAGCTGGCAGCTCTCGGGGCAAGCAAGCTGACCAGGAGGAATGGAGCTCTGCTGCCCCCTAATTTTGTGCCTAGGCTGAAGGCAAATGAATTCCCTTTTGGAAGCCTGGGTTCTCATCTGTAAATGGTTAAAAAAAAATACCTCTTTTGGGATGGAGTGACCCCTGGCCTCCCTCCCTAAGTCCACTGACAGGGCATACCCTGCCCCTTCTGTCCCCATCAGCCACCTGTCTCATCCTGAGCCCCACAGGGCACAGCCCCATGGTAAGGCCTTTCACATAGATCCTTCCAGCCCCAGTGGAGCTACAGTTTGGAGCCCGAGCCCCCGCTCCTCTTCACCCCTAACCAGGTTTGAGAATGTTGAGTTTCTAGCTGGAGGAAGTCAGCTTCTGCTGTGGGCTCTCTCGGGGAGCCTGGAATCCACCCCTCACTGCACATTGGAGGAAGCAGACCAGAGAGGGCAGGCCTTGCCTGAGGTCACACAGCAGTGTGGCCGGTGTGGGGAGCAACAGAGCCAAGCAGTTAGGGCCTGGCACAGGAGTGAGAGTGTGGTGGTGGAGGCGGCCCTCTGCACGCAGGTCTGACGGCACGGCCTCCCGCGCTGCTCGGGCACTGGGAGGACCCAGGCTGCCATGGGGTCTGAACACTGTGCCCCGGGCACGGCTCTCCCTCTGCTTGCCCACCTGCCTGCCTTTGATGTTTATTCTCTTTGTATTTATTGGTCCAATTTTTAAACTCTTGCCCTTGTGGGAAGCCCTTCAGGGGGCAGGGATTCGAAACAAAACGCTGATTAAAGTGCATAAAACACTTCTCCTTTGCAGTTGCAGGAATAACCAGCAGGATTCACAGTGCCGGGAAGGCAGGAGTGGCTCATTGCCCGCTCAGCAGCTCTGGTGTCCCCTGTAGACACAGCCCCGGCACCGCCCCTAGATGACAGGGACCCCATGGTGGGGGATGGTTAGACTGGGAGACTCGGCCTGTGTGCGGTGCTCCTGCTGTGCCAGGCTTGGGCAGGCCTCTTAAACTCTCCAGGCCTCAGTTTCCTCTCCTTTCAGGAAAGCCACATGTAAAAGGTGAGGGGTGAGGCAGTCTGCGGGCCGTGCCCTCCTGAAGCTGTGTTGGTCCTGGCGTGCATTGCCTTTTGTTCTGCAGGGGGTCAGGGTGGGATAGGGGGCGGAGGGCAGCCCGGCAAGGCCATGCCAGTCAGCTTTTCCATCAACAGATTTGAATTCCCCAGGTTTCTCACTGCTCACTCAGAGGGCCCTCAACCCCTGCAGAAAACTCCTGTGTACGCTCTGTCCAAGAATATCATGGGGGGCTGTTCTGTGAGGCAGGAGCTACCATGACTGACCCAGCATCAAACACACAGCTGCAGTGGCAAGTGCTGAGGCTTTGGAACATATTTTCCTCTTCATTCAGGTTGCCAGGAAGCTCACCCCTTTTGTCATTACACCGGACTGGGTGGTATTCTTCCCTTACTGGCCTGCCTTATCTTTTTATCGACTTATGGCCTAATATTTTCTGTCAGTTGGCTCAAGTGATTTTTACAGGCATGTGCTGTACAGGAGTCGCAAAATATCTCTACTAATAAGTGTAAGATGCTTCGATGTTCCAGGAGAAAGATGATTTCTGACTGCGTAGGTTACGGATGGCTTCATGGAGGAGGTGGCCTTTGGGAAAGGAGGTCACAAAGGCCACTGGGCCAGGAGGCTGGGAGAGGTCTCCAGAAGGATAAGGGGGGGAGGGACACCTGGGTGGGTACATGTAATAGGCAGGCTGGTAGGAGATGCAGATGGGGGTCTGGTGAGGCAAGGTGGTGGTAGCTTTGAAAGCCTCATTCTGGTGTGTGTGTGAGGGTTTCCCAACATCTCAGGTGAGCTGTGCCCTGGCCACCCCCACTCTCAGTCCTCAGCCCCCTCTCCAGCAACCCCCACCTTGCCCACCAGCCCAGCCCTGAGCTGGGCGCCCCAAGTCCTGTTTAGCTCTCCAGGTCCCCAGCCTCACACCCCAGCCTCACACCCACACCGGCCCCAGCTGCCAGCCCAATTACTTATTGATCGCCTGTCAGGATGTTTGCTTCTCTGGTGGGTCACTGGAGCGTGTGTGACTGTGGAAAATGGCCTGGTGGGGGTGGGGTGGGGGAGGACGAACCAGAGTCTAGAGAGAGTATGAGACAGGCGGGGGCTGTGGACAAAGCCGCTGGGGATAACAAAACCTCGAAGATGCCATAACGTGTCAGTGACACCCAGAGCCCCCTCTGGTTAATCAGTCACTTAGTCTGTCACCAACCAGGGAGCACGTCTCAGGCCTGGGAGAGACTGCTGGAGCCCTGGAAGGTGTGTGGCTTGTCTCACAGAGCAGAACTCTGGTCCCACATCCACCCCCCTCTGCAGGCTGGAGCCACAAGCTCCTTGAGACCCCGTCGCCTGAAGGGGTGCTGAGTGGTAAGACCTGTGACCTTGAGAGCAGATGCTCTGTACCAGTGTAGAAGTGGGGCTGGGAGAGCTAAGGGAGAGATGTGGGAACCCCCCCCACCTAGGCTTCCCCTTCCTGCACAGAACGCCCCCGGGCACCATGTGAGTGGAGTATATGAACAGGCAGCCATCGGTCGGGCTCTGGTTCAGCCCCTTAAGACCCTCTGGCCCACCCTCGGGAGTTTGGAGAAGTCCACACTCGCCCTCCTAGCCCCCTCCTTGCCCTGCTGGGGCAGTTTCCCAGGCAGTGGAATAGAGGAGGGACGGAGGAGATGGGGCGGCAGTCTGGGCGTAAATGGGAACAAGTCATCTCTCAAGGCGGTTGGCAGAGAGTCATGGAGGGGCTAGCTCCCGCACATCTCTTGCCTACTCCTCCTGTAGCCTGTGTTCAAGCCAGGCCCCTCCCTGGGTGCCATTATCCTTGTCATGGAAACCCAAACCCTGCATGTTTCTCAGGGCCCAGCTGTAACGAGCCTTGCATCGTCAGTGCCTCAGTAGGGACTGGGTCTCCAGCTGCCGGCCTGTGGCAGCCCATGGTGGACCCTGATGGCCCCCACCTCAGACCAGCAGCTGCTCAGAACCCTGGCTCTAGGAGGAGCGAGATCGGAACCCTGAGAGACAAAGTCTGGTGGTCCTTCATCTCCCCCGATCTCCCACTGAGGGGTCAGAAAAATCTTCTTGGAGCAGTGGCCATTAAATCAGACTGTGGAGATGGGGTTTCAACAGGCAGGGGAAGGGGCCTTCCTGAAAGAAACAACTGCAGGGGCCAAGACCAGGAACACTCATTCACTGGGCCCTGAGCCCTGAGCCCTGAGCTCAGGAGTCGGGGGGGGTCACAGCAGACCCGGAGGAAGGGGAGAGTCAGAGAGACTCCACGGCAAGGCATCAGGGCAGAGTTCCAGCATTCTGGGACTTTCTGCGCAGAAAGCCCACTGGGGAGCAGATTCATGACAAACTGGGTTTGCTGATATCCCAGGGCTCTTGGGCTGGGGGCTTAGCTGCAGTGCGGGCAAGGAGAGTTCTGAGGTGTCGGGGCTTGGGGAAGTTCAGGCTGAGGGTGGCCCCCAGCAGCTTCTGGAGCCCTGGCCTGGCAGGCCCGGGACCAGACACGCTCCTCCGCAGGCTGTTTCCAGAGGCTTCAGCCTTTGAGCCCCTTTGATTCCCTGTGTGATCCCTGAGGGCAGCTCAGCAGGTCTGGCTTTATCCCTGATGAGCACCAGGGGAAGCTGAGGCTCAGGGTGTGCGGCTGGGTACGGGGTGCCTGCCTGCGAGGCATAAAATATAAAGGAGGTAGACACCGCCTGGACTGCCCATACCAGGCTCCTCTGAGACGACCCTGCCCCTTCCGTGCACTCCCACCCCAGTCCCAGGAATGCTGGGGAGTTCCTCTGGGAGGGCTCTGGGCAGGGTAAGGAGCACGGAGGACGCAGCATGGGGTGGTGGGAGGCTCTCTGGCCCAGGCATCTGGACCTCACCGTGGGGTCCCAGGCACCCCCCCCCCGGCGGTGTCAGGGGCCGCCCCCCCCCCAAACAGGGCAGGAGGGCCCAGCTCGGGGCTGGCCCAAACACCATCCTCTAACCACACCCTCCGTCCTGTGCTTGCTCCTGGTTGCAGGTGAGCGAGAGGATGCTGGCGGGGGGCGCGAGGAGCATGCCCAGCCCCCTCCTGGCCTGCTGGCAGCCCATCCTCCTGCTGGTGCTGGGCTCGGTGCTGTCAGGCTCAGCCACCGGCTGCCCGCCACGCTGCGAGTGCTCGGCACAGGACCGCGCGGTGCTCTGCCACCGCAAACGCTTCGTGGCAGTCCCCGAGGGCATCCCCACCGAGACCCGCCTGCTGGACCTGGGCAAGAACCGCATCAAGACGCTCAACCAGGACGAGTTCGCCAGCTTCCCACACCTGGAAGAGCTGGAGCTCAACGAGAACATTGTGAGCGCTGTGGAGCCCGGCGCCTTCAACAACCTCTTCAGCCTTCGGACGCTGGGGCTGCGCAGCAACCGGCTGAAGCTCATCCCGCTGGGCGTGTTCACGGGCCTCAGCAACCTGACCAAGCTGGACATCAGCGAGAACAAGATCGTCATCCTGCTGGACTACATGTTCCAGGACCTGTACAACCTCAAGTCGCTGGAGGTGGGCGACAACGACCTCGTCTACATCTCTCATCGCGCCTTCAGCGGCCTCAACAGCCTGGAGCGGCTGACGCTGGAGAAGTGTAACCTGACCTCCATCCCCACAGAGGCGCTGTCACACCTGCACAGTCTCATCGTCCTCCGGCTCCGGCATCTCAGCATCAACGCCATCCGGGACTACTCCTTCAAGAGGCTGTACCGGCTCAAGGTCTTAGAAATCTCGCATTGGCCCTACCTGGACACCATGACCCCCAACTGCCTCTATGGCCTCAACCTGACCTCCCTGTCCATCACGCACTGCAACCTGACCTCCGTGCCCTACCTGGCTGTGCGCCACCTGGTCTATCTCCGCTTCCTCAACCTCTCCTACAACCCCATCAGCGCCATCGAGGGCTCCATGTTGCATGAGCTGCTGCGGCTGCAGGAGCTCCAGCTGGTGGGCGGGCAGCTGGCCGTCGTGGAGCCCTATGCCTTCCGCGGCCTCAACTATCTGCGTGTGCTCAACGTCTCGGGCAACCAGCTGACTACTCTGGAGGAGTCGGCCTTCCACTCGGTGGGCAACCTGGAGACGCTCATCCTGGACTCCAACCCGCTGGCCTGTGACTGTCGGCTGCTGTGGGTCTTCCGGCGCCGCTGGCGGCTCAACTTCAACCGGCAGCAGCCCACGTGTGCCACGCCCGAGTTCGTCCAGGGCAAGGAGTTCAAGGACTTTCCTGACGTGCTCCTGCCCAACTACTTCACCTGCCGCCGCGCCCGCATCCGGGACCGCAAAGCCCAGCAGGTGTTCGTGGACGAGGGCCACACGGTGCAGTTCGTGTGCAGGGCAGACGGCGACCCACCGCCTGCCATCCTCTGGCTGTCACCCCGCAAGCACCTGGTCTCGGCCAAGAGCAACGGGCGGCTCACTGTCTTTCCCGACGGCACGCTGGAGGTGCGCTACGCCCAGGTGCAGGACAACGGCACGTACCTGTGCATCGCAGCCAACGCTGGGGGCAACGACTCCATGCCCGCCCACCTGCACGTGCGCAGCTACTCGCCCGACTGGCCCCATCAGCCCAACAAGACCTTCGCTTTCATCTCCAACCAGCCGGGTGAGGGAGAGGCCAACAGCACCCGAGCCACCGTGCCTTTCCCCTTCGACATCAAGACCCTCATCATCGCCACCACCATGGGCTTCATCTCCTTCCTGGGCGTCGTCCTCTTCTGCCTGGTGCTGCTGTTCCTCTGGAGCCGGGGCAAGGGCAACACGAAGCACAACATCGAGATTGAGTACGTGCCCCGCAAGTCGGACGCGGGTATCAGCTCCGCCGATGCACCCCGCAAGTTCAACATGAAGATGATCTGAGGATGGGGCAGGGGAGCAGGGACCCCCGGGGCAGGCCGGGCAGGGGAAGGGACCTGGCTGCTGTGCTCGCTCCTTGGGCCCTCCCACCTCCCCTCGCCGCCCTGGCCCTACACACACACACACACACACACACACACCCTGTTCCCTGTGGCTCCCCTCCTCCGCCCTCTCCGCTGGCCCTCACCACTTGCCCTCTGCCTATCAGGACCTCTTCAGGCCAGGCCTGGGGACCCCACCTGCACAGGGGCACACGTTGACAGACTGGAGTCGGAAGCCGACAGACCGACACGTGGCACAGTCAATAATTCAATTAAAAAAAAAAGTTACGAACTTCCTCTGTAACTTGGGTTTCAATAATTATGGATTTTTATGAAAACTTGAAATAATAAAAAGAGAAAAAAAACTATTTCCTATAGCTAGTTGGAATGCAAACTCTTGACGTCCTGATTGCTCTAGGGCCCTCTTCCAACTCAGTTTCTTGTTTTTCTCTTCCTCCTCCCCCCCCCTTTCTCCTCCTCTTCCTCCTTTCTCTTCTCTTCCCCTATGGGGAGGGATCACTCAGGAAAACAGGAAAGGAGGCTCCGGCCCCACCTGCCCGGGCAGCTGACAGGAGTAGGCAGGGGAGGCAGGTGCGGGCTGGTTCTGGGCTGGCCATTTGCAGGTAGCAGGTGGAGGAGAGATAGGGCTGCCTGATGGGGGTGGAGGCTGTTGGCCAAGATGCCAGGAAGCACTACTGCCAGGGATCGGGGGCCTGGCTCGTGTGTGGCTGAGACTCTGGACAGGGGCTGGGGTCCTCCTGGAGGACAGCATAGTCGGTGGAGAGAGCCAGGGGCTGGAGGCGGGACCAAGGCCTAAGCTCTGGTCCCAGCTCTGTCGCTGACCTACTGTGTGGCTTCAGACAGGTCACTGACCCTCTCTGGGCCTCAGTCTCCACATTGTACAAATGGAAAACGTGACTCCCCGCCCTGCCTACCTCACAGGGCTGTTGTGAGGAATTGATGAGATGATGTATGTGAAACACTTTGTAATCTGTAAAGCGCTGTGCACATGTGTGGGTGACTGTTCTCATTATGGTCATTATTATCTCACCGTGGGGGTGTGGCTCCTGAAGGGCTCTCCATGGGGTCAGGGTTGGGGGCAGACCCTGGGCAGGCCCGGGAAGGGCCGCTCGCTCCAGGGACTTAGAGAGGCTCCTGCTAGAACAGTAGCCCAGGCCGGCACCATCTGCTGAGCCTAGCCCGGGCTCTGGAGAGGGGGAATGGGGCCCCCTGTACTGGGCTGACCTGGAGGGTCAGAAGCTGCCCTGCCCACTCACACCAAACCCAGCCACTCCACACTCTGCCCTGGGAGGGGCTGCCCCAGATGACAGAGGTGCCAAGGGCCAGTCCGGTAGCCTTGTAACTCTCCCTGACTCCGAGGGGCCTGGCTTGGAAGGCCAGATCTCCGTCTGGCAGGGAGGGCGCTGGGGTCAGGCAGGCCTGGCTTCTCTCCTCCACGGTTCCTCTTTCTCCTGGGGGACCTGTTGGATTCAGCTCCGAGGCGGGGTGAGGCCTGCTGCCTGGAAGTCCTCAGGTCAAAGGGTCTGTGATGCAGGAACGGACAGGCACAGACGTAGCTGACGTGGAGGGGAAGCCCTTGGGAAGTCAGCCCTCGGCAGAGATTTCCAGAACGTAGCGTCTCCGACTGGGACTCCTCCCAGGGCTCACATGCCCAACCTGAGCAGGCACGGACCGGGTAGCACCTTCTGAAGCAAGCCTCTGGTGGGGGCATGGCGAGCCCAGACGGGCACGGAGGGGCACTCACTCCCTCCCTCCCTCCCTCGGCTCATCTGCAGGGGTCCGGATAGCCTGCTCTGCTCCTGCTTCCCCGCTGATGCAGCTTTGCAGCTAGGTCACGTTGCCCTGCCCCCCTGCACCCTCAGCAACCACCCCACAGCTGTCCTTGCCCCTGGGGAGGCCTCAAGCCCTCGGAACTGTGGTTTTATCCCCCGGAACAAACAGGAGCCTCTCCCCATTGGATTCGGGGACGCTGGTATGGTAAAGGTTGATGGTCCCTGGGGAGCAGCCTAGACATGATTATAGGCTCAGCTTTGTGGTCAGATCTGGGTTGGAGGTCCTGTTCTAGCACTTACCGAGTGTTCAGGATTGTTACTTAACCCCTCTGAGCCTCGGTCTGCTTATCTGTCACGTAAAGAGATGATCTTATACTCCTTTTGGTCGTTAGGACATTAAATGAAGGAGCGCGGGTGGATCTGTTTGGTGTGGTGCCTGACGCCCAGTACGCCCTCTGCCAGTGGTGGTGGTGGTTACTATCAAGGCAAACTTTGGTGCAGATGCAGAGACTGAGGACCAGAGAGGGTGGTAGCGTATCCAAAGCCGCATAGCTTCGAAGTTTCAGAACCAGGGCCTGGGAGGTCTAGACTCCCAAGCCACAGACTTCTAAGCCTGGCTGAGGGCTGCTCAGAGCCAGGCCTGGCGACCCCCACCTAGCAGGACACCACTTTGGGGAGCACAGGAGCAGGGAGGGGAGTCCTTGGGCAAGGGCGTGGCTTGTACATAACAAGAGGCCAGTGGTATGTGAAGCTTCAGGAAGCTGATAGGCCTGCTTACCTCCAGAGAGACAGGTGCACAGGTTGTCCATGGCTCCAGCCCTAGATACGTTGGTGGGCACTGTTCTCCCTCAGGAGCCAGACTGTGGGATTGTTACTTACCCCTCTGAGATGCCTGGGACTTCACAAGTTTCTGGTAAGAACAAGAGGTTCAAGGGGCCAATTTCTTTTTGGCTACCTTGAGGGAAACAGACCTCTGAGGAACTTCAAGGACACAAGAAAATTGTGAGGTTGTTTTCAGATAGGGGAGAGAGTTCTTTTGGGGGAATGTGAATGCCCCAGGGCAGGAGGTTGGGTTGACCCAAGCAAAGGAAGCCTGGGTTTTAGAACTGCCCCCTCCTAGGCGTGGGACCTCTATGTATTGAAGATAGTTGTGAACTCAAAAGCCCCGTGAGATCGAAGGGGGAATGTTGCAAAATCAGACTGCAGCAAGCACCGGATCACGGCCACCCCCATCTCCCCCCCTGGTGTGCCCCTCACCAGTGAGAATCTGGGGCCCGGAGAGGGGAAGTGACCCACTCCGAGTCACACAGCAGAGTGATGGATGGGCAAGGGCTTTCGGGTCAGGTCCAATTCTATCTCAGGTGTGACAGCTGCTTGCTGTGCAGTGATCACCGGCACTGTTACATGGCATCCTTACAGACAGGCAGGGAAGTGGCAGGTGAACTCAGGAACGGGGAAGGAAAGGGACTATATGGGAGACAGTGGGAAACGGGGAGCTGGAGCTTCAGTTGAGACTGGGGTAGAAGCCAAGCCTGGTGATGCCCTCTGATTTGCTGCCAAAGGCCTCGGGGCTGTGTGGGAGGATGGGAGCAGACCCAGGCCATCACTGCTGTTTGCCCAGGAAAGAAAGACTGGCCATGCCCTGGGGCCCTGGAGGACAAGGCCACCACCTGCGTGTGTTTGCAGGGATGGAGATGACAGGGAACCAGGGAGAAGGGGTCAGAGGAGCCATGTAGACTCCGGCTGCTATCAGGAGTCCTGGGAGACTTGGGCCTTTCAGGGCCTGGAGTCAGGGTTCATGAGGTATAAGGAAGGGGTGCAGCTCAGACCATCTGGAATCAAGTGATTTACTGAGGACCTCACAGAACCTAGTTCCGTGGTCTGTATCACCTTCCCTGCTTCTCTCCCCAATTTGATGTTCCTCTGACAACACAGGGTTAAAAGTCACCACAGTTCCCATTCCAAAACTTCAACTCCAGTCTCCTGCAGAATCTGGCTTGCTAGGATCTCTGATCTCTTCATTCACAATCTCCAGAGGAGAAAAGTCTGATTGGCCGCCTGCCAACCAATGGATTGGTTGCCCTAACTCAGATGCTCATCCCCTTATCCAATTAGCCAAGGCCAAAGAACTCAACCTGATCTAAGCCAAGTTCAGGTGAAGATGATGCTAAAAGGCCTAAGGGACCCTATCAGTCATTGATTGCTACATGACAACCACCCCAAAATTCAGTGGTCCAAAATAACAACCACCATTTCTTTGCTCCAATGAGCAACCTGGGCAGGGCCTGGTAAAGACGGCTCATCACTGCTGTGCGTGGTGTTGATTAGGGAGACCTGACTGGGGCCAGAAGATCCTTGGGGGCTTCCGGCCAGCTCTGTCTCAGCTGGGGAGGCCGGACGGTTGGAGGCCAGCCTGCTCCTCCATTTCCGTGCAGTCTCTCCAGTGGGCTAGCTGGTGGCTTAGCACTCCAGCGGCCAAACGGAGACTGCCAGGTCTCTCGAAGCCCAGGCCAGGAGTCAAGGCCATTCACAGGCCCGCCAAGCTTCAAGGGGAGGGAGGACAGCTGCCAGCTCTTGGTGGGAAGAGTCGCAAAGTCACAGGACATGGGCATGCAGGACGAGAGGTTAAGTGCAGCCCCTGCTGGGGACCTCCATGGGGACCGCAGAGGTGCCTCTGTCCTCTTTGTCCTCTTAGGATCCGGTCATTGGTGCGCAAGCCTCTACAGTCTACCCAGGCGTAAGGATTTATCGAGTGATGATGACTGCCCCACAGATGGATCTCCAGCTGGTGAGGAAAGAGTCAGGATTTGAACCAGGCTTGCTGCCCCTGGGCCAGTGTCCTTTTGAGCAGAACAGGAGGCAGCTCCCACCACCCTGGGAGTAATATGGCAATAGTAATAATCATTACTGTTTACAGGTCAGATGCTTCCCCTACATTGTCTTTTTCTTCTTTTAAGTTGGCTCCACGCCCAGCATTGAGCCCAACATGGGGCTTGAACTGACGACCCTGAGATCAAGAACTGAGTTGAGATCAAGTCGGGTGCTAACACTAATGGACTGAGCCACCCAGGCGCCCCTCACTCACATCGTCTCATTTAATCCCACCATAAGGAGGTTCTAATCTGCTCCCTTTCTGGTGAGAAGGCAGGCTCAGGGAGAAGTGACTGCCCCGGGGTCCCCA